ATTGAAGAGTAGTGCAGTAATTGAACATTGATTGATGAGTTGGTGTAGTTGCTTCTATCATTGATATAAGACCCTTTAGTTTCCTTCTAGTTATCAGTTTTTGAAAAATTAAAGCAGCTGAAAAACTAAACCTGGAAATGTGGTTTTCAGTTTGGGTTTTAACAATTAGCGCGATTAGTACCAAAAAAAAAAAAAAAAAAAAAAAAAATGCAACAAGTCTGGAACAATATAAATAGAAGTACACGTAAATACAAGATTCGGACAAGAAACTAATGTGGTTTGGTGGTGGGAAGTTGGAAATTTCAAAGAGTTGATCTTGGGTTCGAAGCCACTTGTCCTCCAATTTTGTTATTTTTAAGTGATACATAGGATGACATGGACTTGTGGATGTGGCGGGTTTGACTAGACTACCATAACCGGAGTTGCATTTTCTATGGCCCCTGAAAAAGCTCCACCATGATGATTGCGCGGGATTACAACAGTGTGACGCCTTTGTTGCCATCGATCCATAATTTGCTTCTGGTGCGCGATAGGAACTACCAAATGTGGACGGGGGCTCCATGTGTGTATCATGATGTGTATCGTCATCATGTAACTCATATCATGTGGGTCTGCTCGGTTGGCCATGGTCATGGGGCGATGTGTGTTCTTCATCAACATTTTGAAATGTGATTATGTCGTGATCTATGACTTCTTGTGCACCTATTTGCCTCAGCAAATTCTTCATTCGCTTCATCATTGGGTAATCTCGAGGGTCACCTCTATCACGTATTTCCCGAGCAATCTCCCTCAAACATTGAAGCTGCAATATAAATTTATACAGTTAATACTGTGAAATATTACATTATTTGAGAATACTAAATATTGGTTAATACTAACCGTGATAGCTGATTCTAGATAAGCCGGAACAAATCCGGTTTTAGGGTGGCCTTGTGAGGGTTTGTTAATTTGTATATTACCCACATAACGGAACCATGCACGGTACTCATCAGAGAAATCCCCTCCTCTAGTCGAGTCAAACACATACAAAATTTGTCGTCGGTCCTCCCATTCCCTAATTAAGTCAGCACTAGACTGTGGTCGGGTAGCATGGTGACAATCGCTATGAATCATCAGATCTGGTATATCTTGAAGTGCACCAAATTTATGATAAAATCTGCCAAGATAGTATGCCTCAAAATATGAACAATAAATAAGTGGAACATGAGTTGCCCACAGTTCATATGCATCAATGCAAAATGGTGGAAGACTCATAAGCGAGTAAGGGTCCATTCAAACTGCGCAAAAAAGGTGTTCCATATTAGTAAAAATTACGAAAAATAAATAGTTCATTAGATAAACTTTAAATTTACCTCACACTCCTTTAATCGGTCAAATTGGTCCCTATAAATGCGTACAGTGAATCTACCAGTGTCCGAACAGTTATGCTGAAGAGCCCACCTATATTTAACGACTTATAAGACAAATCATATTTACCATAATAGAGTATAATGTACTACTCCCTCCGTCCCAATTTGTTTTGCAAAGTTAACAATTTTTTGTCAACCAATAATAAAAGTCAACCTTCCGTATGGATAATTAATTCAATTTTTTAATAATTAAAATTTACATATTCAAAAACTACATTAAAATCTCTTCAAAGTTGTAAACTCCAAATTAGAACATAATTAAAAATTGACATCCTAATTAAGTGAACAAAACGAGACTATTTGACTAAGAAAAGACAATTTTGCTTCTCTTTTTGGGACGGAGGTAGTACATAATATAATATGTTGGTGACATTTACCTGGCACCATAGGGCAAATCATATATTCTATCCAGTTGAATAACCCCTTGGGGTACGTCAAACCATCGGCAACCTCTCCCATGTCCAGAATTGTAGAAGGTTTAAACATTCTCACATCAAAGCTTTGCCCGCCTTCGCCGCTTGACACAAGTTGTGGTACAAAAATGCCAATACAGCTGACCTCCAACTCCACCTAGTCATATTCTCAATATCATTGGATATAACATATACAATTTATTGTATTTCCATCTCATATCTCATACAACATCTAAATATCACTCATTAACACATATTTCTAATATAATTTTTAGCACTAATTAAAACTTTTATTTCATAATTATAAATAACACTAATTATAGACTAATATTTTGTAAATTAATACTAATTACAGACTAATTTCTACACCGAAATAGGAAAAAATTTCTACAAACGCATGGTGAAAAGATTATCAAGAAGCAAGGTAAACATAGATTAGTAAATTACACATACGTATTTGGTAAATTAACACTAATGTTTCTATCTGTTAGGTCACTGTTTTCTACTAAGGAAACTACAAAATGGAGCTCTCGCATATGAAGAAGAAAAATTTGCATTGAGGAGAAAGTTTACGTTGAGAGAGTCTCTCTCTAGCACTGTTGTTATTCGTAAACTTTTCTGGTTTTCTTCACGATCGATCTCTTCTTCCGCCTTCGATTCCTGTTGATTGAGCTTGGAGCTTACTGTTTTTTACATTCCTACCTACTGTAGGGAGTATTTCTCTACATCTTTAGCTCTTTCCTGGTTCCGAAGGTGCACTTTCCCGTTTTGGAAAGTCGGCGACACTGTTCACGGTGTAAAGGTCAACGCTTGGATCTTCCACCTCTCTTGTTGATTCGTGTTTTTTAGCATGGATTGAGACTCCCTACCTCTTGAGGATCAAGCAACAGTTGGTTTCACCGTCATCAGTCTTGTTTTTAGTTTGACCGTACTCTGCTCCTCCAATCGGCTTCAACTCTGTTTGTGAACTTTAGCTCCATGTGTGTGGGGGTGGGTTAGTCCCAGATTACCCTCCCTTTCTTTTCCTCTCTTGGCTCATTATGCCGAGAGGGGGTAAGGTCAAGAAGAAGACAACTTCGGCTCCTACTAAGACATCCTCGAGACTCAAAGCTATAACACAAGCTACGGAGGGAGTGGATGATACTTTGGACAAGGTTATTGATAGGGAACCAACCTCTGGCCAAGAAAGGTATACTGACCAACCTTCCAATATCGCTTCCTCTGCTTCGGATAAACCAAGGGCTAACAATGGGGAGCCGTTTGAGGTAAACTCTATCCCTCTTTCCCAAAATATGATTGAAACATTTATAGGTGAAGCTATGCATGAAGTTGTTGAACCTATTAATGGTGATCCTAGTGAGGCCTTGGCCCCTATAATTAATCCTATTAATGATAATGCCTTTGTGGTTGATGAACCCTCAATGGGTTGTCCTCTTCAAGCTTCGGTTTCCCTAATGAATGATGTTGGGAATGTGGTTTCTAAACCAAGTCTTGATACTAAGGACCATATACTGTACCCAACCCGAATCCTATGGCTAATAGCCGTGATGCTGTGGCACTCACTGACATTGGCATTCTGCCTTTGACTCCCACGATTGATACCCCTATCATAGAGGGTGGGTTGCCACCGGAGAATACTTCTATTCAAGAGGTTGTCAACATTGATAAGGATACTTTGAATCCCTTATCACAAGGTAACATTGTCTTAAGCAGTATGCCAAAAAACCCTTCTGATGCTGCCATGGCTTTGGACAATAAAGAGGATAAGACCATTCCCTCTAACTGGAATGAAACCGTTACCTCCCAACCTTGGGTCTCCCTTTTTAAAGATAATAGGGAACCCAAGAAAGGTATGAAACTAAGATACATAGAACCGGTTGGAGACTATGTTGATCTTTCTAATAGGACTTTGTCCTCCATGATTGAAATATGGGGCTTTTTCCTTGTTGCTTACTTTGATGGTCGTTTTCCCGGCTACAAATTGATACATGAGATGATGAACAAGTGGAAAGTTCCATGCCAAGTTAGATCCCATGACAAGGGATGGGTCATTTTTAAATTCAAATGTGAGGAGGATAGAACCAATGTCCTCTTGGGAGGACCATATACTATCCTTGGAAAATCTTTCCCCTTGAAACCTCTCTCGGATGATTTCTCCATGGATAGTGATGAATTTTTAAAGCTACCCATTTGGGTCCAATTTCCTCACCTTCCTATGAAAATATGGGAGGAGGATATTATAAGTGAAATTGCCTCAAGAGTGGGTATCCCCTTGGCTACGGATAGAGTAACCCAAGAGAAGGCTAGATCCCACTTTGCTAGAGTTTTGATTGAAATTGATGCCTCAAAAGCTCCTCCTCTTGAGTTCAAGGTGAAACTTCCCAATGGAAGATTCCATACTCAATATGTTAGGTATGAAACATACCCTAACTATTGCTTCCATTGTAAGACATTTGGCCACCATGCCTTTACATGTAAATCTTTTGCCGAGAAAGAGAAGAATGAGAGGGCTGAAAAAGAGGCAAATAAGCTGCCTAATGACACACCTACTCTTGAAAACATCACTGAAAATCCCGTCCCAAATGAGAAAAAAGGGAAAGACCCTATGACTGGTGAAACTTCTAAGCATGAAGGTTTTAGAGTAAACAAAAATGATCACCCTTTCTTTAAGGTGACAAGGCTTGGGAGAGGATCAAAAAAGTATGTCCTTGAGAAGGAGGTGGACAAGTGTGATCCTCCCCCTACGGATATTGACTCCATGGTTGATGAAACTGTCCGGGTCATTAAGACCACTCTCCTTGACACCTTCACAGATGAGGTGGTTGTTGATATGGACCCCGTGGAGGTCCTTAAACCTATCATCAAAGTTAAACACCAAGATGAGGTGGATGCTCCTACAATTAAGATTAACCACAACCTTCGGGTCGTGGAGGGAAAGGAAACGGGTTTCACCTTTACTAAATCTTGTTTTGAAGGGCTGCCCGGGGTCAAAGTTAAAGACAAAGGTTATATCTATTCTCCTAAATTCATGAAAGGGGTGTATAAACATTACCTTAACCGTTACTTTGAGGATGGCTACTTACAAGGGAATGCTTTTAAGGTCAAGGACCTTAGAAAGTTCCCCCCCAACACTACCCGTATTGTCCATGATATCCAAGAGGCTTATCTTGATGATGTT